TAAAATAATCTCAGAAATAAGAATATTATTTCTGAGAATATATAGTGAATCTTGTTGACTATAGAAAAGAAATTGCACATTTGAAATTAAACACTCATGTTTTTATTTAAGAAATAGATAAATGATAAGTGCTCCATAATTAAAGTGTTGCCTTATCTCTGATAGTTTTCTGCTTTCTTAATGAACAAATTGAAATATTCCTGATTGCTTTCTATACGTAACATGAGTCTCTGCTCAGATAAATTCTAAGCATACATGTATCTTAAACCATGTATTGAATGTCATTGAATTTCAATCATCTAATGTAAATGTAATAGTACAAAACAAATGGCTATGCTATGAGATGCTCACAAAATATAAAGAAATCATTTTCTAGCCATGAAATGTTTAACAAATTTTGTGTCAGAAGGTGTAAAAATTAAATGATCAAAAAATAAATGAATTTTTTATGATTAAATAAAAAAAAAAAACCTTCTCTTATCCTCTCTAGCATTAAAGCCAAATTGTTTATTAAATTCGTAATATTACACACTGCCCTTAAAAGTGTTCATTAAGTTGATTAACAAGAAAATGTATTAAAACTTTTTCATTAAATTATTGAGCAAAACACATTTCTGGTTTTCTTACATAGCTAAACATATGCTAATCAGAAAACCCAGTTATCTGACTTCCAGCTATTTACTCAGGAAATTAAAATTGTGTTATTTATCCATTGCTCAAAACTGTGTAATACAAGGCCCATTTACAAGGTCAAATTAACAGGACTTGGTGACTAATAAATTGCATGTATGAGATAAAATAACTTAGAAAATTAGTTGATTATTTTGCCATGTCATTTCCTGAGATAGGAAATACTAGAAGAGAATAAATAAGATACTCTTAATGTATGTTCTCATGAATTTGAAGCAATGCATTGTGTATTAATAGATGAATTTACACTGCTTTCTTTAACTGTGGCTTTATAACTCACTCTTTTTATACTATTAGAAAAAATGAGCTGGATATTGTGGCTCAGGCCTATAACCCCAGCACTTTGAGAGGCCAAGGTGGGATTGAGATGAGGAGTTTGAGACCACCTAGGCAACATACTGAGACTTTGTCTCTATAAAAATAAAATAAAGAAATAAAAATTAGCTGGGCATAGTGGCGTGCACCAGTAGTCCCACCTACTTAGGAGACTGAGGTGGGAGAATCACTTGAGCCTAGGAGTTCAAAGCTGCAGTGAGCTATGATCGCACACTGCACTCCCGCCCGGGCAACAGAGTGAGATTTGTCTCAAAACAACAACAACAACAACAAAAATTTAAAAAAAAAATGCTATGTTAGTATCCTTCTTTCAGAGTCGTACTAGTTTATACAAATAAATGTGTATTCAAATTACAACAGTAGGCTGAGTCCGATGGCTCACACCTGTAATCCCAGCACTTTGGGAGGCCAAGGCGGACAGATTGTTTGAGGTCAGGAGTTCAAGATCAGCCTGGCCATCATAGTGAAACTCCGTCTGTACTAAAAATACAAAAATTAGCCAGGCATGGTGGCACATGTCTGTAATCTCAGCTACTCAGGAGGCTGAGGCAGGGGAATTGTTTAAACCTGGGAGGCGGAGGTTGCAGTGAGCAGAGATCATGCCACTGCACTCCGGCCTGAGTGACAGAGTGAGACCTTGTCTCAAAAAAAAAAAAAAAAATTTACAACAGAAATATCTACTTGCATTTGAGACATATATTTTGAAAATTCTTCTATGATATTAGACAAAATAAAATCTAAGACACATTTAAATTAAATAATGAACATGAAAGTGATCAATTATAGTATTTAGTACTAACATGAAAGTATTTCCAGCTAGTGCTATTATAAGTTAATAGAACTTTTAAGGAAATATTCAGTGAGCAAACTCCTTTGATAGAAAACAGGTAACTTTTTGTTTATTAGGTTTATTAGTTTGAAATCTTTTTTAATTTAATTGGTATTATATATATTCATATTTAAAATTAATTGTTGCGAACATGTGTTACCTGACATATTGTCCTAATAATTAATTAAAGTGATCTGTTTTCATTTACTAATTTTTAAGCTTGAAAAGTCTTCCCTTAATAAGACATAAACATTCTCCATGGCATAGATCCATATCGAAGCATACGGTTGCCATCCTTCTGAACCAATCGAGAAAAAATAAATAATTATGATTTACAGCTAGCTAATTTATAAATATTTCCATAGGTTCAGAACAATAGTCAATAGAACAAATGGATAGCCCTGAAATCCTCATTTTTACATAAGTATTTCTGAAGCAAGTGGTATTTAGAAAACTTTAAGAAATATATAAACTGGACATTATTCTATTTATAGTTGTGACTATGTTTTCATGAGACATGGATTTTTTTTCATCTCATATAAAATTCAATAAGAAATGAAGAAAATGTCTGCATAGTCCATAAATATCATCCCCTATTAGCACAAAATTATGGAATTGTTATTTGACTTCTTAGTTGACTTAGCAACCCAGTTGTATTCTTCATTATCCACTTAAGAGTCACAGTCTTAAACTGAGGATACAGAATAGTCTGAAAACATGAATAGAAATTTTAAAGAATAGGATGAGGAAAAACACTGGATTGATAAGTAAAGACAGTTAGGCTGGTACAAAAGGAGTCAGGAAATTTGAAGAAAAGCCAGCAAACTCCAGGGTCGCCATTCTTAGATTTTGGCTCCAGGCTGTAAATTTAAATGTCTTGTTAACCCTCGGGCAAACTGGGAACTACTGCAACTGTAAAAAACACATATTCTTTAGTGCTTTCAATTCTAAGGCAAATTTTAAAGAAACAACATTTGTTAAAATACTTTTTGTCATAAAAGCATGGTAGCACTTTGGGAGAACATTGGAAAATATATAAAAGTGACAAGAGGAAAATGAAATGATCTGGATTCCATCTAGTCAAGTAGCACCTGAATTTCTTTAAATATACTTACATATGTCAACACACATGTGTATGTTTGTGTGAATGCATCTTTTAAATTAAATAATTTTAAGAAAATGTAACAGATAATAATGCGCAAACTATAATTCTACAGCTTAATGAATTTTTACATAGTGAACACACCTATATAACCACTATTCATAACAAAAAACAGAAATTAATCAGCATTCCAGAAGCTCAGTTTTGTGATCATTTCTGTTGCTATTCTATCTTCTTCTTCCAAGTGACCCATATTCTAATTTTTATCACCATGTAGGGATTATGCCTGTTTTTGAAGTTTATATAAATGGAATCATATAGTATGTATTATTTTATGTCCTAGAAACTTAGGTTCATGAAATTATTCCATGTGATTACTTATAGCAGTAGTTTGTACATTCTCAGTACTTCATATGATTCCATTTCATATATAAAACACAATCTGTATAACCATCTACTATCAATGGACATTTGGGTCGTTTCCAGATTTTAACTATATAATGCTTTTCTGACCATCTTTGTAAGTGTCTTTAAATAAAAATTTTATTTAACTTTAAATACAAAAATGTGTGTAAATCACATATGAATAGAAGCATAACTTTTCAAAGGGTAAGCCAATACACAGATAAAGAAATAAGCCATCACTAACACCCAAGAATTCCCTGGTATGCATGGTAATTTTGTAATGACTACTGAATACTGCGCATGAAAAAAATTATACAGGCTTGGGATGAAGTTACATTACTAAAAAGAATATTTGCTTTTGCTTCTATTAAAATAGGGGCAGATCACCTTAATCCAATCAGAGTTTCAATATTGGGTTTACATTTGTGTGAGGTCTGGTCTTTTTCCCCAGCACCATAACTCACATGGTATAGAACTTCCGTGACCCCAACAGAAAGCATTGGGTATTTACCAAGGTCTGTCCTCTTTAGCAGCTAAAAAAAAAAAAAAAAATCACTTTACCCCTTAGCCCCATGACTGCTGCAAAACCTCTTCAGCTTCACTCAAGTCACTTCTTAATGCTCAGCATTTTAGCCTCTCACTACAAATCACTTACTAATTAATGGAAATTGCATTTGTTTTAAACAGAAGGTGGATAATTCTCTCATGACAGTATCACCTTGCTTTTTCCTCCTCCTTTTTATTTATAGTTACTAAATATTTAATACCATAGCATACCAGGTTTCTTACTTTCCAGGTTAATATTCTTTCTCTCTGTACCTTTGCTCTCAGCCTTCTGTGATCAGCCCCACACTGTGACAGAGTTAGGTAGAGGTTCTGTGCTGTACTCAGGCTTTGATTAGAGAGAGCAGTTTCCAGCTTGAGTCACGCATGATGACAGTCATTGATTGTGCAGAAGTCATTGACCTACATAATGTAGACTGCAGCAGGCCAGGGATTTGACTTTTAACTAGGTAGCACACACTGTTGGTAGGTTTACCTGCATATCGTTTCCATAACCTGTATGCTTGTAAGATAATCATTTCACGCCTAGTATATGGTACTCAAACTCTTGGTTTAAATGTACACCTAGAGAATTGCTAAGGTAGCATTTTCTGATAGCATGAGCTTTCCAGAAAATGCCCATTTGATGTACCATGCTATTTTATAAAGTACTGTTTTTTTTTAAAACAGTAAAAAAAATACAAGCAGCAAAAACTACAGAAATGGCACATTTCAGAGATAAAGCAGTGCATGTGTGTATAAACAAAAGCTTGCCACCCATAAAATGTGAACAAGATAAAGGTAAAACCGTTTTCTGAAAGTAAGCCTCCAGGAAATACTTGACATTTCCAAAAAGATGTTTGCCCTTTAATATCATCATTTGCTTTTCCCATCTGTTTTTTTGAAGTCGAAAGCTTCTTTGCAAGCTTCTTTTAGTTTTTTTAGTTTTATTTATTTATTTTTTATTTTTTGGAAAGCTAAGGATTAGAAAGAAAAATGAGATGCTTTTCAGATAGACAAATGCCAGGATGACTACTTAAATGAATTCTAAGTAAAAATAGCTCTTCTCACATTTAATGCTTGTTTTTCTTTAAGACCTCAACTGCCACAGTAAACGTGGTGGTGACAGATGTCAATGACAATGCTCCAGTGTTTGATCCTTATCTGCCAAGAAATTTATCTGTGGTGGAGGAAGAAGCCAATGCCTTTGTGGGTCAAGTAAAAGTAAGTGGAATATTTATGTAGATCTTATATGTATTTTTTTCAAAGAACGTTAAGTTTATTTTTTCAAAGAGCATAAGTTTATTACATTTTAATTCTGAAAAGAAACTCAGCTAATGTAATCTGTTAAATGACTGTGCTGGATATTCTTCAATACTTTAAAAAATGAATAATATCCTATATATTTTAATTAACTTTCAAGGATACAGATTTACATTTTATAATTATTGTGTAATTTAAACATTGATTAATATGATAGTATGCTAATTTAATACATATTTCTGAATCAAAACATTTTACAGAAGCATGTAAGTATACTACTGGGTATGGATGTGGACATTTAGACCTCAAAAAATACAAAAAATACATATATTTAGATTTGAACTCATTTCATTATGTAAATATTATCTTTAGAGTCTACCGTGTGTGTCTAATATTTTGCACAACCCCCTTTTCCAGCACTCAGAAGGTTTACTCTTCGTATGTTCTTCTAAGTGCTCCTGGGACCTACCTGGACATATTAGCCAGTTTCTGTGGTTCATTTGATGAATAATTCCTTTATTGTTAAAGCAGAGACATTACTTCCTCATTTCAGCCATTCTTGGTCTTGAATATAGTAATTGGTCTAGAAGTCACAGAGAAGGAAAGTTTTGAGGAAGATGTGCACGATTTGAAGCATCAACCTCAGATGAGGTGTTTATGTGGTCTCCACGGAAGGAAAGAATCTTGCTTTAGTGAGCTGTGAGCCACCCAGATGTTCCAAACTCAGAGTTCAGGGTCCTACTCCTTCCCTGTGAAGTTTTTGCCTTTTCCACAGAAGGCTTGCTGGTGCTTTGAAGTGAGCCTTCTCTACTGTTCTGCTATTCTTGTAACCAGGCACAAGGTCTGATTTTTAGTTTAATCTCCTTTAAACTGCAAAAGGAGAGGGTTGCTTTAAATGATGTTACAGAGATCTTGTGACATCACGTCCTGAGATTTTGACTGACCAGTGTAAGCTTTTTTGAAAGTCATTTTTTTTTTCCCTTCAAATCACTGACAATACTTACAACTACCAACTCCACAGTCATTGTCATTATCATTGTCACTATCTCAGTCAAATTCTGGAAATATTGCATAAGGCGTACATAACCTTATCTGTTTATGCCATCCCAATGCACATAGGGAATAATCTTGGTCATTGGGATGTTATAAAATGCCAACTGGTCTTGATGCCAACTGGCCAACAAGCGATTCAACTCCAGCATCCCATCTGAAGGCTCTGTTCCCCACACCATAGTACCTCTGGTGTCCAGTGTCTTACTGTGGATTCTCCAACAAAAAATCTGGACACAGAATATTCATGTACAAATATTTTTTGAGAAGTACAGATAACAGTGATAAGGAAGTGAGAAAGTGAGGCAAAGAAGAGAAGGCAACCAGTAACAAGTTTGCTATTAAACTAGCTATAACGAGGAGAACTGAAATTTCACTCCAAGGGCAAACTCTACAAAAAGATGCAAACTCATGCATCAAAGTTCTCTCTCCTGGTAATTGTAATTGTCCAGTTCCTGAGAAGTTATGGAACTAGAAAACATATACACTAAATCCTAAGAGTAGTTAGCTGCAGTGTTGGGCAATGGGCTGCCAAGTTTTTGGATTTTCTTGCCTCCAGCAGAAGCAAGTAGCCAAATTCCCTCTGCAAAATCTGATAGAAGGGCATTGAGTCAGGCTGTAGATACTGATGGCAGCAGTGGCCCATCTGGAGCAGCCACTGGAAAGACACCAGCTACAGCAGAGGAGGTATGACCAGGGCTACATGCTCTAGGGAGCCGGTGGGAGCAAGGAACAGGCAGGAACCTAATCCCCTCCAAGTTGGCAGGGTGGGAGCCCTGCCATCCTGGGCGTAGCTCCAGCTGCCCAGCTGTGGTTGCAGACCTAGGCATCTCTGTACTCTCAGGGACCCAGGAAGCTCCCCTACCCCCACAGAGTCGGAAGTGCCTGTTCTCCCTGCCTGTTCTCTTCCAGCTCCTGGCAACCCTTCCAATTTTGAAGCAAAGTTGAGGCCGAGTCCAGGTGCTGTCATAACCAGGCTGGGTGTGTGCAAGCTGGGGTTGGTGCTGACATGCCAGTCCCCAGCCACCTCAGCCTCCTGTGGACTTTGGGCACCAACGAGCATGGAAGGGAGGCCAAGAGGGGACAGAGGGCTGCTCACTGTGGGCCTGCAGGCACTCCTCACAAACAGCCTGGGCACCGTGAACAACATGATTGATGGCAGCAGGAGACAGACAGGCTCCTGGGTGGAAAGCAGGGGGTCCCTGGTGAAGCCCCACCTTCAAGCCAGGGATGGCCTGAAGCCTGGGGACCAGGCTATTAGTTCCAGTGGAGTCCATGGCCTGGAGTGAAAACGTACGGTGCTTTTTCCGGGCCTGTCCATGGCCACCCGTAAACCAATCAGCATGTACTTCCTCCTTTCTGACCCCATAAAAACCCTGGAGCTAGCCAGACACATAGACATCAAGACTACCGGCTATAGAAGGGAGCTCCCCTCTTCGTGTCTCCTGGGACCCCCTTCTGCAGAAAGGAACTACCCGTTCCAGGTCTTCTCTCTGCTGAGAGCTGGACACTCATGGGGACAACCTGCCTATGAATAGGAGCTACACACTTCGGTCTCCTGAGAGCCGTCTGTCGTTCAGTAAAGCTCCTCTACACGTTGTTAGCTCTCCAGCAGTCCGCGTATCTCATTCTTCCTGGATGTGGGCCAAAAACTTCGGACCCACCAAATGGCAGGAATGAAAGAGCTGTAACACAAACAGGGCTAAAACACGGCAGCCACCCCACTCACCATGTTGCCGGCAGCAAAAAGGAGAGAAGAGTGGCGGCTCTTCGGGGAGCCCCTCATCCATACGCGGTTGCTCACAGCAGAAGCCGCTTGCCGTGTATCTGATTCAATCAAAGGCTTGCCCGGAGAGGGTGCCTGGAGCTACCAGTCCCGCCACAGCAGTCAGCGTGCCTGGCTATGCACAGTGACGAGACCCCGCACTTGCTCACTCATGCACCCCTCGCTGCTCTGAGCCTGGCTTGCCCTGGGAACGTGTGGGATTTAAGCCAGTAGCCTGAGCCAAGCACAGCCTGCCAGGTCAAGTGGGTGATACAAACACAGCTAGTCTGAGGAAAACTCGGACAAAGGCGCCACCAGCCACAGAGGCTTCTGGCTGGAAAAGCAACACCCTTAGGATCCAGATACAATAACAGGAGATGGAAGTTGGCCAAAGCATACCAAATGCTCTGAGGCACATGCATGGGGCACTGACAATTTTTGCTATGCCAAGAAAGCAAGGTAATAAAGTCTATAACAGGGGTATGTGCAAAAAATATCAGCAAGGAGAAATGCTGAAGTTCACTCATGAAGGAAGAATACAGGTAAGAGGGAAGTTGAGAGGAGCTGGAATCTGTTAGGGAAAGTTAGTTGTATAAGTAAAGGCAGAGAAATGAGAATGTGACAGTATAGTTACAATAAATAAGACATACCATGTCATAAACACTTTTCTGTACCATGTTGTAGAAGGTGACGGGGGCACCACTAAAGGGTCTGAGGTATGGCAACATCAGATTTGTATTTTATAAAAATTACTCCTGATGGGCCAGGCACCATAGCTCACGCCTGTAATCCCAGCACTCTGGGAGGCCGAGGAGGGCAGATCATGAGGTCAGGAGATTGAGACCATCCTGGATAACACGGTGAAACCCCGTCTGTACTAAAAATACAAAAAAATTAGCCGGGCCTGGTGGTGGGCGCCTGTAGTCCCAGCTACTCGGGAGGCTGAGGCAGGAGAATGGCGTGAACTCGGGAGGCGGAGCTTGCTGTGAGCCAAGATGGCACCACTGCACTCCAGCCTGGGGGACAGAGCCAGACTCCATCTAAAAATAAATAAATAAATTAATAATAAAATAAATAAATAAATATTACTCCTGATATATTGAAATGGGAGATTCTAAATCCAGAAGACAGAACTAGAAGGCAATTTTAATAACCCAGGCATAATGAGGCTTGAACTAATGTAATAGTCTTAATTAATGCTAATTATATGTTACAGTTGTCAGTTTAAAATGCCACATTGCTGAAAACTGAAAAACTTCGTTTAGCCATATATATATTCACTATTTGGTTAAAAACAAGTATTGAAATTATTTACAAAAATGATCTTTCCCATTTTCTTAATTTATTTAGCTTGGAGAGATAAAGCCCATATGGAAAATATAAGTAAAAACACACAAGTAGACATCAATGTGATGATTAACTTTTAGTTAAATTTCTTTTCCTTTCTTTTTTTTTTTTTTTTTTGCACTTTTCCTAGTGATTCTTTGTTCTTGAAGGAATTATTGTTAACCTTTTTGTTGTCTCCTGATTCTTAAATTTGATAAGAAATGGCCTCTATAATTTATTTCAGTTTTTAAAATTGAAATATGGACCTTAGCCTGGTCTTTAGGCAATAACTTGTTTTCATAAAAACTAAAATGGTACTGAAAGTAAAAAGGAAGAGGAAAACATCCAAGACAGGCTGCATCCAACTGATTCTGCACAGTGTAATGTTTATGGGATGGAATTTTGATGCTCATAATGGTCCTCTGTTGCTACCTAATGATAATTATATATTAATTTCACTAAATAACTCATGCTCTGCTTGTAAAATTTAATTTTAATTGTCATCAAAAACTATTAAGACTCACTTAAAATCAAGATACATATTGTTAATTACTATACTGAATTTGAGTTATCAAATTTGTGTTTATATTCTATTGATATTTTAATGTGAATAATCCAACATTTGAATTAAAATGCTGAAGGGAGTTTTCATTTACTTTTTTTGTTAGTTTCTTGAGACAGAATCTCGCTCTTGTCACCCAGGCCGAAGTGCAGTGGAGCGACCTTGGTTCACTGCAACCTCTGCTGCCCAGGTTCAAACTTCTCCTGCCTCGGCCCCCAGAGTAGCTGGGATTACAGGCACCCTCCACCATGCCTAGCA